CACCAGAAGAAATTCTAAAGGCCATCAAAAAATATGCCAACTTGTTAACGCCATTGTATTCATCAATTTGCTAAGCCTTGAAAATGACTAAGAAGATCATTCCAAATTACAAGATGAAAATTATAAAGAACAATAAGAAATATTTGAGATCTTTGAAGACACCAGCCATCATTTGAACCAAGAAACTGAAGCCATCATATATTCTCAAGAAAAAGAATAGCTTCATAAAAGATAAAATAATAACCAGAATTTTTATCAAGATTAGGTTATCTTGGTTTTCAGTAGTGAAGTCTAAAATACAAAATGCTGCAAAAGCTAAAATATGTGAAAAATCAAAGTAGTTCCATCCATCACTAAAGTACTCTTTTCCTTAAACTCTAATTTAGCTTATCTCATATGTTAAGAAATAGCAAAGAACGATACTGCATATTGCTTTTGTTGAGATCTTAATCCAGATATTTGGTTGAAAAATCTCAGTATCCTAATTATCTACTTTTTAATCTGAATCATTTTCTTGAGCAAAAGCATAAGTTGAATAAAAAATATCGAAAATAAATGATGCCATAAATATCAAGTAAGTATAGAACCTGTTTTAATAAAATGATTTTGTATATTAGTTCCATTTAAATTTGATGATACTTTGAATAACTTTATTTTCAAAGTAATCTGGTCTATCGGTTTCACTTAATACTATCATCAGATTTTATTGATTAGACCCTAAAGTAACTGGTAAATTGATCAAATGATATTCAATTGATACTACTGAATCAGTAGTTTCATTATCATCCTTTAATTTGCTTAAAAATAATTCATCATACTTTTAATGAACATCTTTAGGATGATCTAAATTTATTCCTTGAATCAATTCTCCATCATCTTAATGTTAACTCTTGAAAGTAGTGTCTAAGATTTCATAATAAGGAAGATTACTATCGAAGTATTCTTATAAATCAATCTATTGTTTGATAAGTTCACATATATTTTTATCAATCAATTAGTTAAACATTATATGATCTTAGTATTTTTAAATCATAGATAGAATGAGATTAATAACTTTTTGCTAATGATTGCTTATAGAAAAATCTAAAGGAGAATTTCCAAGAAGCTGATTCTAACATATTAGGATAGGTAAATTTAACCTATCTCTCGTTGAAAGCTATTTAACAATAGTTTCTAGAGCAGCTAAATTATTTTAGAATACTCCAAAGCATGTTCCAAATCCAGCTACTAACTTTAAGTATTTATCCACATTATCTTACAGTTCTTTAATGATTTTTTCATTACTCCAACTAGTAATTTCCCTATATTATTTTATATCTGAATCAGTAATGTCAACTTAAAAATATCCAACCAGTTTCTCCTCACCTTTTATAAATATCTCGACTTAACTTGAATTAATGAGAATTTTGTTAGCAAAACCAAAATGAAAAGCAGGATAAATAGGTTAAATCAATTATTCTTCATTAAACATTTCTTCGAATGATCCTAATGTCATAGTATAAGTTCTAGAATCATAATTTTTTTTATTTTTCTCTTTATATAATAAGCAAGAATTTTAAATGAAA